AAATAGTTGCAATACAGTGCAATACAGTTAATAAATCTTTATTTTTCGAAAACGTAGTATGAATAAACCGAGGAATAAAAAAGAGAGGAATTTTATAATAAAAAAGACCGGAGGAATTGATATTGGTTAACAGAGTAGTAGTCGATAATAATGATAATAATTCCTTTTGTTTATTAGAATTGAATTTATATGAGTGAGGATTGAGCGTGTCTAAGATAAAATCACATGTGTGAAGAATTCGAGGTATTTACAAAGAAAGATTAAAATGAAAGCTAATTTCAATTTTACAAAAAATCATATGTGTGAAGAATTGGAAGTGTTTATAACGAAGAGATTAAAATGAAAGCTAATTTCAATTTTACAGAAAAAATTACATGCATGAAGAATTGGATGTGTTTACAAAAGGAGATTAAAATTACATGTGTGAATACCGTAGGATTGTTTACAATTTAAAAGAGAGATGATTTATGATAGTATGAAATTGGTTAGAAGTTTTCGCTAAATTATAATTCGCGACACTCCCAAAAGACGAGAGATTGTTTTAAGATGTAATTTTGAGAGAGAGTGATTTTGAGGTATATAGTTAAATGTATGGAGTTTAATGGGTGGGATTTCTTCTTTAGTTAGGAATTGAGTGTGTGTGATTCTATAGGGAAAGTAATGATTGTAGTTTGACTTGAATTTCGTTACAAAGGAGAGATTGAACTAATTTAAATTTCCACTTAATAACTAAAATAGTTAATATTGTCACGATAATTATACAGATGAAAATCAATTTCCAATGTGTTATTACGTTTTCAAATTCTTCTTCTATCGGTAGAACAATTTCATTGAATTCCTTTGCATTTGTTTGATAATTTCTTCTCCTTCTCTCCTTTGCTTATTAAATCTTCTTTGAATTCGATATTTTCGATTGTTGATTGTTCTGATTTGCAAGGAGCCACCATCAAATTTCCGCTAATTCTTTTAGCTATCGCATCGCTTCTTTGAAGTGTTAGTTTCGTGACAATGGTAGGATTGCTGATTGATAGCCATTTGATCAAAAGTAATAAGTTATTTCTGTTTTGGCAACTTCTCTTCTGTGTTTCTTTGAGTTGTTGAAGGAATTCTTGTCTTAGTGAAACAGAAAGGTATTGAAGTTCTACATTTTCAGGATTGTATTTTCTATCCGGAGACTTTTCCATCATCAATAGTTTATTTGTTACTCTTCGTTTGAATTTTGTAGTAGAGTTCGAGTCATCTTCAACGTCTAGTTCCATAACTATATCGCCCTGCATTAAAATTGGAAAGGTGAATCTACATTTTTGGTGTTTAATACAAGGGGTTTTATCAATATTATAAGCGATGCTTGTATCTCATCGATGATGAAATGGTTGTTATACTTTGTAGCCTTGAATTTTCCGATCTTTCGATATAAACAATGATTGGTCGTATCATTGTTATTCCATATGATAATGCTAGTATTCGTTATGCATTCATCCTTTTCAAACAATCTTTTATATCTTCAAGGTTAGAGACTAACCCTCTTCCAGAGAATTTCTTCTTGAGTTAATATGAAGTTTGACGTTGATTGATAGCTAACTCCAAACCATCTATTAGGAGTATTGTATTCCTTATTCGTTATCTATTGATTAGGAGAAGATTGAATTAGTCCAATTCCGTTCATTTGTTTCCGAACATTTAAATATTTGCAGAATTGTGAGGAAGTTGCGGTAGTAGACGTATAGTCTGATACTACCGATAGTGATATTCTGAGAAAGCTTTCGTGCATACAGTCCGTGTAATGTTGCTACAAGAATACCAGATATAAAGCTGGTATTCTTACATGGGTGTACACATCCACTTTGTGATATGTAGCATTTTTGTGAATAATTTCTTCACAATTCCATTTTTCAGGAATATTAAAGAGCACTCCAGCAAAGCAATTACAGCTGTTGTTTGCTAATACCTGTCGTGTTACTAACGATATCATTGTTATTAATGATAAAGTTTTTATCATAAGATTAGACTTGTCTTTTGCATCGATTTCATCTTCCACATTTTCTTCTCTATCTTCAATAGCATCTATTTCCATAGGATAAAGCATATTGATTGATCGATCAATTTGTTTTCCATTTGTAATTGTATTGTTGCTCCTTATTTTTCCATCCCATCCTCGTTTAATTTTTATTATCCTTGCTAATTTCCATACATCACGAGGTACTTCTGGTTTATTTAATAATACTATCTCATTTTCATGTAGCACCCTTTTTTCTACTATTCTAGGTGATTTTAATTCCCTTTGTGTGCGTTCTCTAAGACTTGTAAGATATTCTTCTTTCCAACTTCCAAAAGACATCTAATGTGGTAAGAGTGGTAGTTCAATACTTGATTAACTTATCTTTAGTCTTTATTTTTGTATATTCATCTTGATCACTATCATAATTTATGGTAGATCTAATGAAGCCATAGGTGATATAAAATCAAATGGACGAATGAATCTATAGTCATCAAACCCTACATAAGTTAATGGACGAGTAGGATTCCTTCTATTTCAATTATTAATGTTATTAATTCTTCTTCCTTTAGAAGTTTTCTTCCTATTGCTCTTCTTAATGCCCTTTTGTGTGTCCTATAAGTCTTTCATATACACCACCATTCCATGGTGCTCTTGGTACAGTATTTTCCATACCATATCCTTTGTCGCCAAAATTAGCGTTTTCTTCCATAATAGTTTTGAATACCAGTTGAAATTGACTTGCATTATCGCTTAATATTAATTTTGGATATCCACGTCGAGCGATAAATCTTCTTAAAACATGTGAAAAATTTTCGGCAGATAAATTCTCCGCCATTTCTGGATGCACCACTCTGGTAGTGAAGCATGTAAAGTGCTATCCATCTTTTGACTAGACCACATTAGATTTGACTGAAAGAGGACCCATATAATCTAGGTCGACTTGTTCGATAGTTCTGGATCGTTTTACTCGTTTCTGGTAAACTTGGCATCGCTGGCAGTTTAAACGGTTTAGCTTTCCAGCGAATGCAATAACAGCATAGGTTTATGATTCGTTTTACAGCAGCTCCTCCTTTTCGGTATCAATATTTTCGTCTTAATTCAGATAACGTATGTGCAATACCTGCGTGATATAATTCATTATGATTGTGTAAAATAATAAGATCAGTAATATAATTATGATCCGTAATATATGGGATATTTGCTTTCGTCCTAATTCTGAATTTTCTAGTCGGTTCATTAATTTCCATAAATTATCACTTTCATCTAGGTATAGATTCCATTTTTCCTTTCGTCCTCTGTTAGCATTTGTGATTAGGCCTATCTGATCAGCATAGTCTCTGCTGTATCGTAATCAACTTTAGTCATATATTTCTTTTTATGGATAATGGTTCTAGCCACACTAATTTCTTTTTGCAGGTTTGTTTAATAAATCTAAAAGTCAAACAGTTACTCGAACTAGTTTTGTCCAACTGCTGAAGCGACATTCATCAATAAATTCAATTGTATCCCTTTTAAAAGTTTGAGTTATCTTTGTCAAATTCAAAGCAATTGCTTCTGCAAATTCATCGTTTCCTGAATAGCGAAGTTTACACTTTGGCCATTCAGATTTCTTGAGTTCCAACTTTCAACCATCGAGGTCCTTTCCACCATTGTTTACAATTTTGGAGTTTAAGTGGTGATACTCCTTTGGTGGCTATATCTGCTGGATTTTGATCACTTGGTATGTATTTTAATTCGAAGTTAGATATCCTTATTTCTTCGATGCGGTTTTGTACAAATCTGGGAAGTAGCTTTGTATAATTTTGGTAAAGAATGTCCACAAAGTAAGTTGATTATTTTCAAAATTTAATTGTTTCAATACGAATTGAGCTGCTCTTACTTCAATTAGTACAGATAATAATTCAAGTCTAGGAATTGACATACTTTTAATTGGAGCAATTCGAGATTTAGCATAAATCAAAAATGAATTCGAATATGTGTTTGATATCCATGATTGAGAATATAAATAGCTGCAGAATAGGCAACTTTCGAAGCGTCAATAAATATATGGAATTCTGTTAATTGTGAAGTTTTCATTACAAATCTTGGCAGCTCTATTGTATTTGTTGCCATTCTTTGATGAGATTATCCACTGTTGTTCGTCTTGTTTGTTTAAAGATTGATCCCATGGAATGTTTCTTTCCATAAGTGTTGTATGAATAATTTAAGTTTGATCATTATAGGAACGAGAAGACCTAATGGATCGTATTGAGAGGCTATGAATTGTAGGATAGTCCTCTTTGTTAAACTTTTTCCTATCCATAGTTTCAGTGTCACACGGATAATATCTCGTTCATGATTCCATTTAAGACCAAGAAAATTTTCCTGGTTTGTTTGGTTTAGGTCGCATTCAGGTATTCTTTCATTAAATTCTTCGTCATTTGAAAGAAATTCTCTTATGTTCATCGATGCTTCACCAAAAATTTCTTTCGTTCTTTCATATTTATATAAGGCCTCTTCTGTTCCATTAGCTGATATAATAACGTTGTCCACGTATAAGTTCTTTCTTATCTTCCATGCCAATTCACTACCATGATTTTCTAGGTGGTAATTTAATGTTGCTGCTAATAAGAAAGGTGAGGATATTATTCCAAAAGGAACTCTCTTAAATCGGTAACATTTTATATTTTCATTGGTTAGTTCTTTATCAATATCATCCAACCAAAGAAAACGTGTACAATTTCATTTTGTAGTTCTAGTTGTAAAAATGCCTTTTCGATATCAGCGGTTATTACTATTTTCATCATCCGAAAACGTAATATTACTCCAGCTAAATCCGGTAACATTACTGGACCTCGATATAGTACTCTATTAACTGAGCCGGTCAATAAGCAATAACAGCATCATATTTTTAATATTAAAACAATTTTTCAAAAAAATGTGTTTTCAAACAAATGTGTTCAAACAAAACAAGTTTTTGAAAAAAAAAACAATAGATTTTCAAAAACTTGAAAAAATCAAACTATAAACTCGTTTTCTGATTATTTGATACAACAATTTGCTCATCTGCAACTTTTCACTTCATCTCTTTGTTTTTCCATAGATGAAATTTTATTTAATTTATCATTCAACAACTTCACTTTTACAATATATTTAAAATAAATTAGAAAGTTAGCGATTAATTGTAATATTAAGTCAAATAGAACGAATCATATCACTTGTTATTGTAAATTTCTATAGTTTAACAAAAAATTTTCTTTTTTTTTTTTTCAAATACAATTTTAATTTTTCTGTTCAAAATCTTACAATCTCTTCCAATATTTCTAATCAGTAAAGTGAAAGACGTTGAAGCAATAATATCAAATAACCAATTGCAAAATGCAGCAATGCTAACAGAAATACTTCGTGCCCACATCGGATAAATTTCACAATAATCCATGAAAAGCATTAATCCATGAAGATGGTGCATAACTTTAAAGTATTAGCATTAATTTAATTAATTAGCCATTATTGATTTTAAAAGCTTATGAAATTATAATTAATCTGTTACTCCTTCAGATTTTCATCATCTTTTATTCAGTTATCTTAAAATTTCATTTGTTTATAAAAAACTTTTAGCATTTACTGAACAGTTGATACACATTGTGGCAGAAATTTATAAGTTATATATAAATATATGAATTATTTTTCGTTTGTTATTTAAAACAATAAACATATGGGAAAAAAATGTGATGGAAAATTGTAATTAGTTTACAACTTTTTAGATTAACTTCACTCTTCAATGCTATCAGTCTTAGTACTAATTCTTCGCTTTTCTTCTTTTTTTTTTTTTTTGTTAGAATTCTACAAGGTGAAATAAAATTGGTAGCAAATTGTTTATGCTATCGTATCAATTATTTTAGCTCTAGTATTCAATTTTTCCTTTTTTTTTTTTTTTTTAATTATAATTAAATTACAATGATATGATGAAAAAATATAATAAAATTTGCCTTCTTTTCTTCCATAAATTTTTTTTTAACTATTGAACTAAAATTTTGGCTAATAAAAGTAAATAAACAAATATAAAATACTAATCGTTTTTTTTTTAAAAAAAAAAATGATAATTGATATTAAATAAAGAAAAATGAATGAATGAAATGTTAGATATACCGCAAGGTATAACGTATAACGGAATTATAATCTGAGTATAACTGAATTATAATCTGAGTATAACAGAATTATAAGCTGAGTATGAGTATAACTGAATTATAATCTGAGTATAATGGATATCTGAGCATAACGGAATTATATCTGAGCATAAAAGATTTATAATCTGAGTATGAGTATAACTGATTTATAATTTAGTATAACAGAAATATAATCTGAATATAACAGAATTATAATCTGAGTATAACGGAATTGCAATCTGAGCATAACTGATTTATAATCTGAGTATGAGTAGAACTGAATTGTAATTTGAGTATAACAGAATTATAATCTGAGTATGAGTATAACTGAACTATAATTGAGTATAACAAATCATGATCTGAGTACAACGGAAATATAATCTGAGTATAATAGATGATCTGAGTATAGCAGAATTATAATCTGAGTATAATAAATTATATAATAGAAAACTACTACTGTGTTAACCAATATCAATTCCTCCGGTCTTCTTTTTTATTATAAAATTCCTCTCTTTTTTATTCCTCGGTTTATTCATACTACGTTTTCGAAAAATAAAGATTTATTAACTGTATTGCACTGTATTGCAACTATTTGAATATCAACCAGACAAATCTTTCACGATATTTTTAAAAAAAAAAAACGACGATAGTTTATGTTTAGCTTTTATATAAGTAAAAATCTAATATTTTATTTGAGTTAAAATTTAATATTTTACAAGAAAAGAAAAAAAACTATTATGGTTTGTTATTTTAATAAACTATGAAGTATTATTATGCTTGTTTCCTTGTTTTTTAACTGTTCGATTGTGGAAAAATTAACTAAATAATATTTCAGAGCAGTTTCATACATATTCTTTCCTTGTTTCCTTTATTAACTCCAATAATTTTATGATTTTGAATTTGTCTAAAGTTTTACTCATTTAAAAAAAAAAAAAAATCGTAAAATAATCGAAGTAAAGCATAGTAAGGAATTCTTTCAGTGTATTAGACTACACCATCTGAATGAAAGTGAAGTGAAAAATCATTGAAGAAATTAATGAATCAGAAAAGAGTGAAAAGTAGTGATAATAGTTTATCTACAAATTTCAATCAGGTCTGTATGAAAATGTCTTCTTAAATAGTTTCAGTTTTCATTTCCTATGCAAATTTGTTAAATTATTATGCATAATTCATTAATGCAAATAAAATCGATTTGTGATAAAACTGAGAAAAATCATTCATTTTGTCATTATTCCAAATTGAGGATTGGTAGCGTGCAGACTGTTTAAGGAAGTTAGGATTTTACTTAAATTTAAATTTACTATTCAAATACACTTCTTTGCTGATGGTTTGTAATAAACTTTCTGCTAGAATTTGAAATTTTCATTTTCCCTCCTAGAAAGTTTTTAGTTGTTACTAATATTACTGCTGTTCCATTCAGTCAGGTCATAGCGAAAAAAACTTAAAAAAAGGTTGATCTAGAGAAATCATGCAATTAGGTTAATTTAGATTAAAATTTAGTACTTCTTTAGGGAATCAAAAATTGTGACTTTTTGTTCTGTTTCAGATGAAACCAGAGACGACTACAGAGAGACATTTCGATGTCAGTAAGGATCAGAAAGTACTGGAATTACAGAGAAGAATTTGCAGTCGAGTAAGTATCGTATTCAATTTATTACTTAATATCTGTTGATAATGTAAGTTTACCAGTGAATCTTTTATGCTTTTTTGCAATTTATAAAATTCAAGATTGTAAGATAAAACAAATGAGAATTTTCTTTAACAAATCAAAAAATAATAAGTTTGTCTCAAAAAATTTGATAAAAAAAAATTTAGTATGCTACTTGCAGTGAAGTGAGTAAAGCGCATTCGCTTCGATAGATCCTTTCACTTAGCTTTATTCCTAGGGATGAATTTTAGGAAATATTACACAATAAATTGATCATTTCAGACAAACACCAATAAAGAGATGACACAGCAATATTTGGAAGGAAGGTAAATTACTGTTTTATGTTTTCGTTCTTTCTCTGTTTGGAAACTTTCGCATTTTCATTCATACTCCTATATCACTTTTGTTATTTAAAATATTAATTTTCTAATGTTTTATTTAATATTTTTACTCTAGCTAATGTTTGGTTTGTATTCATGGTCTTCAGATGCTAGTGCGTTTTGTATTCCTGAATGCCTGAAGCACTTGCAGGCTTGTTAAATGTTGTTTAGGAAAATGACTTTCTCCATTTACTATGAAATGCTTTCATATTATGCTTTCACCTATTCCATTTTCTCGTGCATCATTCTTGTGTGGTTCAAAATTTCTAAAAATGATACATTTACAGGGAAGTTGCTCTGGAGAATCAGCTGTTATTATATAAAATGGATGAGAAAGGAACTGGTTGTGAGTCAGCGCAGAATAAACAAATTAAAGTGAATGTTGGATGTGGAGTTGCAAATAAAAGAGAAGGATGGAAGGCGGATGAGTCACTGAAAATTTTGGAAGACAATGTAATTAATTTAATCGAAGCTGAGGTTCGTTACTATGCTTCATATTTTTAATAAGCTATGCATTTGAATTTTAAGCGCTTGAGCACTTTGACATTTTACTGATAGCATATGATTTATACAGTTATCTGGAAGGAAATAAATATGACACAGTAACACCGCTGCATAACTTAATTTCTATTAGGTGCTGTTATGTAAGCAGTTATGCAAATATTATTTGTATTTAATTATTAACAAAGTTGAGATTCTTGATCTTGGAACTTTTTGTTTATCTTTAATATGTTTTTTTTTTTTTTTTTTTAAAGATAATCAAAGGGATTTTTCTTCTTCCATGCAAATATCAAATTAACAATTTTCTCAAATTTTTAACTTTCAGATCATGTCAATGGGAACGGATATTCAGTGGACGGATATATGTGGTTTGGAGCCGGCAAAAAAAGCACTTAGAGAAATTATCGTTCTTCCGTTTCTCAGACCGTATGATTTTATGTATCTAACATTTATTTATACAGTCAGTGCAGTGTCAGTGCAGATATTTTTATAAATTACTTTACTATATGTGAATATCGAAACAAAGTATGGTTATTTCTCCACGAAATAATAGTATTAATTTTTGTAATGTTTATTTACATTCAGTTAATAATGATATTGAAATGCTTGGATAATGTTCACATATCAAAATTAAATTTGAAAAAAAGTTAAAGTATTATATGTTGAAGCGCTTCGATGAAATCGAATATTCATATATAAAATTATCAGAAAATGACAGAAAATATAAAATTTTCGTATCGTTTCTTATCGATTGTTTGTTCTATTTTCTCTACATCCCATCTCTATAATGTGTACGATTTCAGTGACATTTTCAAGGGTATACGTGCACCACCTAAAGGTGTGTTGCTTTTCGGACCACCTGGTACTGGCAAAACCATGATTGGTTAGTATATATTGTTACTAGTTAAAGGTTTAAATATTTTTATGAATTTGTATGAATAATATCTTGAGTTCTATGAAAATACTATTGCAGGACGATGTGTTGCATCGCAATGTAAAGCAACATTTTTCAATAGCCGCATCGTCTATTACGTCAAAATGGGTTGGTGAAGGTGAAAAACTTGGGCTCTTTTTGCGATAGCACGGTTTTACAGCCTTCTGTGATTTTCATTGATGAAGTGAGCTGAGTTTTACTTTACCTTGTTCCAAAGAACATAATTAGCGGCCAAAAATTTCCAATAAAATCTAGATTTCACATCATTTTATTGCTAACTTTTTTTTATGCTATGCTATAAATGAGCGTAAATTTTCAAAAACTTCGAAATAGTATTTTTCTTACACTACATCGTTTATTTATTTGTTTTCATAAAAGACGGTTTATTTGAAGATGTTAGATACGAGCATTCTCTTATACTTTCCATATTGTGCATCCTAGTTGTTGAAGCTCGTCGATCTATACTGAATAATATTAAAAGTGTAAAGTCATTAATTAATTCAGTTATTACTAACTGTAATTTCAGATTGATTTTTGCTTAAAAGTGGCAATGAGAGTGAGCATGAGTCATCAAGACGAATAAAGACTGAATTTCTTATCCATTTGGATGGTGTTGCAACTACCTTTGATGAAAGAATCCTTATTTTAGGAGCTACAAACAGGTACAACTTTCTATTATTTTACATTCCTTTTTTTTTTTTTTTCATTAATTTTTCTTCAGATGAATTTTTCATTATTATTAAATACGTTATTTCGAATTCATTTTTCTGTTGTTCGCTTTTGAGGATGTGTTTGAATTGACTAGAGAAGATAAAGCTACATTGTGTGAATTATTTCCAT